GTTGTTCTGATGCTAACTAGGTGCATTTACATGACAAAAGCAGTGAGGTCTGTATCAAAACAAGGTCAACCCTAGCCTCGCTGCCATACAAAGGCCAGGTCACTGAGCAGACAACTGTAAAATGGTCTATTGGTGGCGTAAAATCCGGGGGGGAGTTTACTGACATCTTTGTCTGCATTTTGCCACATTTGTATACGAAGAGCAGACAAAGGCATCGTGCTACATGCGAATTGACTCCAAAATTTTGATGATGGGGGTATTTCTAAGTCTTAAATGATTTCGTACGATCCAAATCAATAGCGCGAACGTGCACCATTTTACGAAATAGAGCTTCCATGATCGAAATCAGACCCAAATCAATGGAATACACGCATGAGGTCCAGAAAAGCTTATTTATCTGCTTTTCTCCACCCATTATTTTCTTATAAGACATGGAAAACCGTATCTATTTGATTAAGAGTATAAAATACAAAATTTTCATTCAAAAAGCACAACACTTGCGACCGAAGTCTGTTGCTTACATTACGGCAGAAACGAATGCACCGCGGCAGTGTCGGTAGAAAATGTGTGGGAAAAGGTTCTCCTTAACTATTCTTTTCTTCAGCGACCTGTTCATGAATGAACGAAGACACTTGAAAGTCCGAAAACCTGGTTCAAATATTTTCGCATTCACGTTTGTTCGACCGCACGATCAGTAGTTCAAAATATTTTTGTGCAAGATTTTCGAAGAAAGTATTTTCAAATTCGGCACTTACTTCGATTTTTTTCTCTTTTTTAAATGTGAAGTGTTCTGTTTGTAACTTTATGGTTAAAAGTAAGATTTCCTTACCTCTTTAAGCGTTTCTGGCGTCCGTCTTTACTGCTAAATAATTTCTAATCAATTTCTTCGTGTTCAAGGCAAGCTGATCGATGCCTAACTCCACTCCAGATTTGAGATTTGAGAAGGGCAATAAAATTCAATTCTTTCTGCCACTTTCTTTGACACTATCATACTTGCATTTTAACAGAAATACAACATTTCAGAGGAAATTATGCATCATACAGGTACAACGAAAGTACAGAGTACAGAAGCCGCGTGAAGTCCGGAACTTAGGCAGTGCTTCAAACATTTCCAGTCGTGAGAAGTCTGACTCGTGAGGGCGCTTTCCATTCAACCAAAAACTCAAATGGTAAACTCAAAAGGACAAATGGTATGGAAATTTCCCGGGAAAAGTTCCAGAAAACCCGGAAATTGATGAATTCCGTAAAGCGAATCATTCAACCGAAAATTCCGAAATTTCCAGAATGCAGATGGAACTGAAATTTCCAGAAAACCTTTTTTCGCAAATTTGGGTATACCTCAGGAGATTGCCCTCTTTTAAGTACAAACAAGACAAGTGCGATTTCATCCTGGTCACTGTGCCTAGTTGAGATTTTCACTCCATTACGAAAACTTGCCCCAATATCATGAAAACAGTGAAACATCCCTTGCGGGGTAGTGCGTGCAGAGTTTTTGCCATTTAATAGACTAAGGAGGCTCTTTCATCGTTGCCTCTATGTTTCTGATAAGTGCGGTAATGGAATAACTTCCCACAGTATCCTGAGAACTGCTAAGAAACAACAATGTACATAATTAAAGTACACGCAACAAAGACGATCTTAAACTTCCATCTGTAAAACGAACTTGGGGATAGCAAAGAACTTGTTACCATGTCTTCAAAGATTGGAATAATTTAGATAGTGATTTAAGAAACTCGTGTACCATATCTGATTTTAAATGTAAATTTCTGGAATCATTCTCAGTTATGTAATTTCTTTTTCTTTCTGCATTATTTTAGTTCTAGAACATATTTTATTCCTTTATTTATGTGATTACTGATATATTTAGAACAGGACCTCTCAGTATATCACAGGTAGGTGAGTGAGCTTCCTGTAATAAATATTATTATTATTAGTAGTAGTAGTAGTAGTATTTAATATTATTATTATTATTATTATTATTATCATTATTATTATTATTTAAAAACTAACCACAAGAACTTTGTTTTAATCTCCTCAGAAAACCTATTTACAAATCTTCACACATTCCACTGTCGTAGACTAAAACTTTGATGAAAATAAAAATATCATGAGATCCTAAAATACTAATTCACAAGCTCATGCCATCATCTACTTTCTAAAATTAGTGGATACGCCCGGTTAGCGTTTAAACAGCAGACTTTCACTATTGTCATAATATGATAACAATAATAATAAGAGAAAAAATGCTATTCATATACTTAAGTTTATTATTATTATTACATGTATTATTATTATTATTATTATTATTATTATTTTAGAGTTCTTTAAAATGTAACCTAGCCTCTGCATGGAAGCGAGGTTTGGGTTGGCCTTGTGATGAAAGAGATTGGAAACTAGTTAGCAAGACAATAAAAGTACCAAGATTTGTATGATAACAAAGTATGAAACTGTAAAACGGGCTATTTAGGCTGGGGTCGCATCAGTGAGCACATTGTGTATTTTTAGGTTAGTAATCACACTTGTACGGAAAAAAGTCTTTTATAGAAACTGCTATGATAGAGTTTGCATGTGTTAAGACCTACCAAATTTGTCAAATACTTTATACATTAAATTATAAATGGAGAAGGTGAAGTTATTTCCGCATTCTGGCTTTGCAAAATTTCCGTGTGAGCAAAAACTCGTTTCCATCAATGTTTTGCTCTTGCCCCAATTTTCACACGGCTAGACTTTGATTGCTTACTGTATCCCAAGGAACACTTGCTATGCAGGCTTGAGAATAGATGTGACGTTTGCTCATACAAATAATTAAATACAGGGTTAACTCAAAGAACATGTTTCAGTTTGGAGGCAAATTGTGAATACCCTACATATAAATACCCAGCCATAAGTCCCAATCTCATAAAGAGTTGTTGATTAGATCATAAACAAGACCAACATACATGATATAGCTCAGTTAAAATCAAAGTTTACAGGATTAATATCTCTGGATCTGCTGGTGCAAAGTTTGTACACCTCAACTAGTGGGATACCCTTTTCAACAAAACGATATCCATCCATGATAACCAACAGACTGAACCATTGGGTTGAAAAGCAGTCACTGTTTGAAACTGTACACTGCTGTTGTACACTGGGTTCACCAGTAGACAGCATTTCAACAAATTTATGGAGTTTTTTTTTCTTGCACTTGCCAATCAAGTGTCACTCCAAGAGCAGAAGTCAGTAACCAAGCAACAGCAGAGTGCTCCTTTAAAAGGTTACAACCATTGGCAGTTTGAGGTGTCAAGGCTCTGCTTATGTGGTGAAACTGAGCNGGTTAGTAATCACACTTGTACGGAAAAAAGTCTTTTATAGAAACTGCTATGATAGAGTTTGCATGTGTTAAGACCTACCAAATTTGTCAAATACTTTATACATTAAATTATAGATGGAGAGGGTGAAGTTTTTTCCGCATTCTGGCTTTGCGAAATTTCCGTGTGAGCAAAAACTCGTTTCCATCAATGTTTTGCTCTTGCCCCAATTTTCACACGGCTAAACTTTGATTGCTTACTGTATCCCAAGGAACACTTGCTATGCAGGCCTGAGAATAGATGTGACGTTTGTTCATACAAATAATTAAATACAGGGTTAACTCTAAGAACATGTTTCAGTTTGGAGGCAAATTGTGAATACCCCACATATAAATACCCAGCCATAAGTCCCAATCTCATAAAGAGTTGTTGATTAGATCATAAACAAGATCAACATACATGATATAGCTCAGTTAAAGTCAAAGTTTACAAGATTAGTATCTCTAGATCTGCTGGTGCAAAGCTTGTACACCTCACCTAGTGGGATATCCTTTTCAACAAAATGATATCCATCTGTGATAACCAACAGACTGAACCATTGGGTTGAAAAGCAGTCACTGTTTGAAACTGTACACTGCTGCTGTACACTGTGTTCACCAGTAGACAGTATTTCAACAAATTTATGGAGTTTTTTTTCCTTGCACTTGCCAATCAAGTGTCACTCCAAGAGCAGAAGTCAGTAACCAAGCAACATCAGAGCGCTCCTTTAAAAGGTTACAACCATTGGCAGTTTGAGGTGTCAAGGCTCTGCTTATGTGGTGAAACTGAGCCAGAAAAGCATCCAGATCCAAACCTACTATTGATCTTCTTGCTTTGACGGAGACGTGGCTCAGACCTGGAAATATTGATTGTGTTGAGATTGGTGAT